GAGGGGGACGGACGGCCTGGCAGGCTCCCTGAAGTCCTCCAAGGCATATGGGCTTCCTGCTGGTCACCTCATTAGGTGCCCCCAAATCAGGGAGTCAGCAGTCCATCCAAGTGACAGGGTGGGAGTGAGGTCTGTCTGGGAATGCGAACGAGGCGTGAGTGATCGGAGGAGCCTGGCGCGCAGGGGCGAGGGGGAAGGGTAAGGCCTTTGAAGCCTGGGTCACGAGGGATGGGAAGCCTGGGTGACTCGAGGCCACGACACTCTTGGGCCTGGGTTCCAGCCCACTGCTCTGGGCCTCGGGATGTGAGGACACAGGAACTCTGCGCATGGACAGGAGGAAGAGAAGCTGGCGGTGGAGGCTCCATTGCTGAGATTAGAGACTTTCTCCCACTCCGGCCAAAACAGGACTCCTCGGGGAACAGAAAAATGAGGCCCCCATCACTTCGGAGCCCTGAAGGTGGCGCTCCTCTGGCTGAGCCTCCCCTGTTCTCTCCGCAGAGGACAAGCTGTGGCTGAAGCCTTATGTGGACCTCCAGGCATATGACGACCCCGCCCAGGGGGCCCTGGACTTCACCCAGGAGCTCGATCCCTCCTGGCTGATCGTGGACACTGTCATAGGGGAAGGTGAGCCCAGCTGGCCCCTCTGGGTGGCAGCACCGAGCCGCCTCCTTCTTGGCGTTCCCTGCGGAGCCCAGAGCCCAGCTGGCCAGAGTGCTCCCAGATGAGTTCCCTCTGCCCAACCCTGTGTCCTTGAACAGCCGTGGTTGTCTTCTAGCCCCCTTATCAAGTGTCCTGGAGCAGCCCCCGCCTCATACACAGTCTGTCTCTGTGGTTTCAGAGTTTCTGATAAAGAGCATTGGACACATTGTCCTTGTCAATAGGGGGGTCACTGTGCTCAGGATTGGGCTCTTCGCAGATGGTTCCTAAACGAATGTGGGAGAGGTTGAGAGCCTTCCTCACCCCCCATCACACCGCACCAGGGCCCAGTGTCCTTGGGCTGCCCCGATCCCTTGGGTCACCAGGGAAAATGGATCTGAGCAGAGAACAAAGCTTGGCAGTGTCCATGCTGATTGCACGGCCAGGCTGGCCAAGCTTGACCAGAGGAACTCACGGAAGAGAATGGCAACGGTCAGCCTCCCCGGTCACTGTGCTCTGGCCGTGGACCAGCCTGCCCTTCATGAACACACCCCAGTACCATGCACAGCCCCCACTGTCCCAGCATTTTCTGAGCACCTGCTGTTTGCCAACAACCGTGCTGACCCAGGAGACAGTGCTGAACAGGTTGCAGAAATGCACTCCTGTCCCCGACTCCTGTCCCCTTCCCTAGGAAGTACAACCCAGCCTTTGCTCCAGAAAGGACACACCAGGTTTCTGATCCAGAAAAGAAAAATCTAGGGGACCAAAGGATGTCATCCGTCCCCTGTGGGGAGCCTGACAGTGCATCGGGCCATGACCCTGTTTTCTTTCCACCCAGGAGAGTTTGGGGAAGTGTATCAAGGGACCCTGAGAATCCCCAACCAGGACTGCAAGACTGTGGCCATTAAGACCTTGAAGGACACGTCTCCAGACGGCCAGTGGTGGAACTTCCTCCGAGAGGCAACAATCATGGGCCAGTTCCACCATCCACACATTCTGCACCTGGAAGGCGTTGTCACAAAGAGTACGAGGATTGGTCTCCAGAGTGTGGGTGGGGGAAAGCGGGTGAGACCACCAGAAGTGGAGGGAAGCTGTTTTGCCAAGGGTAGGAAATCTGGTTATGGTGGTTTTGGGTGGAGATGGGGTGGAGGCTGCCATGGTGATGTGTTTTGTGTCTCAGGAAAGCCCATCATGATCATCACGGAGTTTATGGAGAATGGAGCCCTGGATGCCTTCCTGAGGGTGAGGAGGGCAGAGGGCCAGCTGGGAAGGGCGATGCACCATGGAGCCCTGGGTGTTGGCTCCTGGTCTGGGAAGAGGCAGCCCTGCCCATCCTCTAACCTTCCTGTTCACCCTGCTGCAGGAGCGGGAGGACCAGCTGGTCCCCGGGCAGCTGGTGGCCATGCTGCTGGGCATTGCATCTGGTATGACCTACCTCAGTGACCGTAATTATGTCCACCGGGACCTGGCCGCCAGGAACATCTTAGTGAATCAGAACCTGTGCTGCAAGGTGTCTGACTTTGGCCTCACCCGTCTCCTGAACGAGTTTGATGGTACCTATGAAACCCAGGTGAGAGCACTCACCACATACACATTCGCAAACACAATTTCATGTCATGAGTACTGGCACACATGTACAACAAACACAGGACGCGTGCTGGTGTGGACGCAATGCTCTGGAACTCATCACCTTTCTGTCCTACATGCCCTATTAGGGAGGAAAGATCCCCATCCGTTGGACAGCACCTGAAGCCATTGCCCATCGGATCTTCACCACGGCCAGTGACGTGTGGAGCTTCGGGATTGTGATGTGGGAGGTGCTGAGTTTTGGGGACAAGCCCTACGGGGAGATGAGCAATCAGGAGGTGAGCCCGGGTACTAGCCATACCAGTCTTCTCCCAAATCCTCCCATGGCTCTCCCTGTACATATCCCAATTTCTTCTTCCTGACCCAGTTTTCCTGCCCTTCTGTCCCCTCTGGTCCCCTTTGCCTCACACCCTGTTCTTACAAGTGGTCAGGGGTGGGGGTGGGGGGAGGTTAGGGATCCTTTGCAATGATCTTGCATGAACAGATTTCTTATGGGCTCCAGGTTAGCTTCCTGCCTCAGGCCTCTCTTGCTCTCTCCCCTCCGTAGGTAATGAAGAGCATCGAGGATGGGTACCGGCTGCCCCCGCCCGTGGACTGCCCTGCCGCTCTCTATGAACTGATGAAGGGCTGCTGGGCCTATCACTGTGGCCACCGGCCCCGCTTCCACCAGCTGAAGACACAGCTGGAGCAATTGCTGAACACCCCCCACACCCTTCGGACCATGGCCAACTTTGATCCCAAGTAACCACACAGGGGAGGGGGACAGCACTCGGAGGGCAGGCCCAAGAGAATGGGGATGGGCGGTCAGACACCTCCACCAGGTGCTGGGCCTGCAAAGCTCCAGACGGAGTCCAGCTTAGGAGGCCTGACCACCGTGTGCACCCTTGGGGAGTGGCCACCTTGATGGAGATGCGGTCCCACCCTTGATAGCTGTAATTTGATAGAAGATAGAAAGCAAACAGTGAGGTGGGAAGCAGATATGAGCAGGGCTTACAAGCTGACACCTGCTCCAGGGGGCTTGGTTTTAGACTGGGGTGGGGAAGACAGAATCTGGCAAGCGATAGACAATGGGATGTGTCATGACTTCGAGGGGCAGCTTTGTGGGGTCTGGGAAGGCTCCCAGGTCACCTGCCCAGCATGGGTTTGGGGAGCTGAGGGCAAACTGATTGCAAATAGTGCAGGGTGACCCAGCACCCAGCTCAGGGCCAGTGGCCAGAGATGAAGCTGGAGAGATAGGAGGGTCAGTATGCAAAGGACCAGCTCTGCTGAGAAGTTTGGACTTCGACCTGAGCACAGAGAACTATTGACCCGTTTTTAAAAACTGTCCAGGGGAGGCACAAAGTCAGAATTGCATTTTACCAAAAACATTGGCAGGATGTGGAGAAGGCGGGAGGCAGGCAAGGCTGGACTTCGCATGCTTTATCAGGAAAACCAGCCCTGGCCTGCTGGCCTGTGTATCAAACCACCATATATAACCTTGTTTCTGGGGAGAAAATACGTTTCAAGCTCCAACTTTTGAAACTGTCTTTTGGAGCACAACTCCCTCATACACTGGAGACTGCATGTGCTAATCTTTCTGGAATGTTGGATATTTTCCCCCCAGTAGATTTACTTTGCTAATGGTTTTTGGCTCTGGCTGGCTTTAGTACAGGAACACTCATTGTATTGTGGGTGTCAGAGTGCAAGAGTAACAGCCAAGGTTGGAGGTGGCAAGCAGGGGCTGCTCCCAGAACTCAAGGGGCCACCCTGGAGAGGCAGGACCACACCCAGGCCCCCGCCTCTGCTCTCCTGCCTCTGCTTCATCTCAGCTGGGATAGTGGATACGTTCCCAGAACTGGCTGCTCCAGGGGAGATGGGCTGATGGTAACCTAGAGTTGGGAACTGGCAGGGCTGCCACCTCCCCCAGGACCGTCAGCCTGCCCGCTGCTGTGAGCGCACCAGGAAACAGGCCAGGAAATGGGTTCACAGACAATGGCCTGGCTAATCCACAAAGTCTAGATAATCTCTATGCCCAGACACGAGCTTGGATGCTGGCCCCAGATGCTCACAGGCTGAGCCCTGGTTTCAGGAAAGCCAACTGGAGGACAGCCCCTGCCTCCCGCTGTGTGACTGAGGTAGCCCATGTCCCACAGGGTGACCCTTCGCCTGCCCAGCTTGAGCGGCTCGGACGGGATCCCCTATCGAAGCGTCCCCGAGTGGCTGGAGTCCATTCGCATGAAACGCTACATTCTGCACTTCCGCTCAGCCGGGCTGGACACCATGGAGTGTGTGCTGGACCTGACAGTGGAGTAAGGAGCCTGGGGACCCGGCTGGGGAGGGTGGCTGGGGTTTGAGCCCGCACACTCACCAACCCCCTTCCTTGACCACAGGGACCTGGTGCAGATGGGGATCACGCTGCCGGGACACCAGAAGCGCATTCTTTGCAGTATTCAGGGATTCAAGGACTGAGCCCTCCCCTCCCCCACCCTGTCCTCAGGAAGCAAGGGTGGGGCCCGGGTCACTCACATCCCTTCCCTCAGCCTACCAGGCCTTGGTGCTGCTCCCGCCCACCCTTCCCTAAGGAACTCACATCTGGAGCCTGGGAGACTTTTCAAAAGGACTGTTGGGGTAGAAGTAAAACCATAGTGCTGGGAGGGGGTTGGGGGAGGGTTTAATATATATATACATACACATATATATTTTTATAAATAAACAGGAGCTGAGTTTTCACCTTGGCCCCAGTTTTTTAATCCCTCCATCTCTTCCATCTGTAGCACAAAGGAGTCAACTGCTAAGAATTCTGGAAAACAAGGTGTTTTTATTTATAGCTGTAGCCACAACCTGGCAGCATGGGGGTGGGTGGGAATGTCCAGGCCAGTGAGCCCAACCCAGCCCAGACTCCCTGGGGCTTGGGGACTCCTGGCCCTCAGCAAGCAGAGTAGAGGCTGCTCGGGGGGCCAGCGGTGCAGCAGTGAAAGCAGCAGCGCTCAACCTGGCGACCCTCAGGTGGGGTACCTGGAGGGTGGTGGGAGGTCCCTGCAGGATGGGAGAGAACTGGAAACCCAGGGCTGGGACTCTGCAGCCTGGGTCCAGTTGGGGCCCTGAATCAGGGTCCTTGGTATACTGGGTGAGGTTTGGAATGGAGGGAGGGGCTAGACATAAAAAAATAACTCAGGGGGCGGGGCCAGTGGAGCAGCAGGGTGCTCTCTGTGGGTGGTCGGGCTGATGGGGAATGAACTCCCTGTGGAGAAGGGGCCAGTCCTCACTCAGGTCTGGGCTCTGGCTGTGTGGCACTTCCGGCAGAGCACGTGGCCGTCCAGGGGGAAGCAGCCATTGTCGTCCGCCTCAATGGACAGCCCCTTGCCACAGTCCTAGGAGGAAGAAGGACTTGCTGGTGGGAAGGGCCCCTGTGCACCCCCCACGCTCCCACATTTGCACTAGGAAGGCCAAGTGCTTCATGGCTCAGAGCTGCTGTCCTCATGGTCTGCATCCCCTGCCCAGCGACCCCCACCCCCACTCATCCCCACTATCACTTTTGCCCCCTAGGCCTCCTGTGGGAGGATGGGCAGTGCCTAGAGCTGCACCCACCCCAATAAAGGACCCAGGGCTTCTCCCACCTGTCTCAACTCTGTTCTGACTCTGTTTTTTGTGTGTGTGTTTTTTTAAATTTAAATGTCTTTATTGATTTCAGAGAGGGAGAAAGAGAGACAGAAACATCAATGCTGCGAGAGCCATTGATCAGCTGCCCCTGCACACCCCCTACTGGGGATGGAGCCTGCAACCCCGGGCATGTGCCCTGACGGGGAATCAAACTGTGATCTCTTGGATCATAAGTTGATGCTCAACCGCTGAGCCACACTGGCCTGGCCGGTCCGCCTCTCCTTTGTTCTGAACCTGAGACCCTAACCCGGCCACCACAAAGCACCGCACCCTTCCCCACCACTGCTCGGTCTCCTATCTCAGTTTATCTGTAACTCAGCAACCCCACAGGAACCCCACTCCGCCCTTCCTGCCCTGACCAAGGCATCGAGCGGGGCGGGCCTGGGCGCTGCCACGGATCACCCTCAAAACTGCAGGCTGGCACTGTCCACCACAGGGCCAGGGAGCAGTATCCCCACCCGTCCCAGCCTTCGGGGGCCACGGGAACACTGACCTCACACTTGTAGCACTTCATGTGGAAGTTCTTGTCCAGGGCGACCACTCGCACAGTCTCCTCCCGGCCAGGCTCAGGCATGATGGGCTCTGCACAGACAGAGCACCTGGGCGCGTACTGCCTGGAGGGGAGCAAGGCGGCGCGTGTCAGGATGCGGAAAGGGCACACGGCCTGCCACCAGAACACGGGGAGAGCAGGCACCGGTGGCCTGGCAAAGGGCCGGCTTCTCTGCCCATCTTGCCCCCCATCTCGAGGTAGAGGAAGCCCAACAGAAAGGCCTAAGACCAGCTGCCATAACTGCCCTTATCAAGGGATACGTCCCATCCCTGGACCCCTGACCCTAGTCACCCCCCACCCACAGGTGACCCTGCCTGACTGCTGGGGGGTACAGAGGGACATTAAGCCTTGGCCACCCAAGGTGCAATTCTGAAACGCACACCTCAGACACAGAGGTGGGGGCCAGATTCTGCAGGGCCCGTGTACCGCCCTTTAGCCACCTTACGGGATTTTGCTGCCGGCCTGAGAAAGTAGCCACCTTGTAAGCACTTCCTAGGGGGAAACCAGAGTTCCAAACAACTCTCCAAAGGAACTTCTAGAACTTGGCCTGTGTGGAATAAAGTCACTCCAGCACATGTTGCTGAAACTAAGACCACAACTAAGAGAAGCCTCAGTGAGCCAAGGGCCAGAGGGCTGGCCAGGAGCAAGACATTTCCTAGGCCCAAGGCCCCTGGAACCGGTCCCTACCATCTCGACAGGACATGGGGCCAGAAAGCAAGACCAGGGGTTTGGAGCTGTCTTGGGGTCAGAGGGGCAGCCTGGCTCCCAGACACACCATGGCTGGCCCCAGAGAAGAGCCCCGAGGCTGTGGTGGGCCCTTACCTGTGGTAGTCAGGGACGCAGTGGGGCCGGTTGGCCTGGTCCACGATGAAGGAGGTGCCCTCCAGGGGGCAGGCGCAGACCACACAGGTGAAGCACTGAGGGTGGTAGGCTTTGCCCGTGGCCCTCAGCATGCGGTCAGTGATGGGCTGCCCACAGGTGTTGCACTTCTCCAGGGTATCCTGAGGAGGAAGCAGGAGGAGACTGGTACCCACCAACCGGCTGCCAAGGCCGGTCTGTCCCATGTCTGCCCCACCCCGGCCGAGCCCTGGGGTGGCCTCGGTCCCAAACCCAACTCACAGTGTAGCAGCCCTCACAGTACGGTGCCCCCTCCAGGCTGTAGAACTGCTGTCCTTGCAGCTGCTGCTCACACTGGTGGCAGGTAAAGCAGGTGATGTGGAACAGCTGTCCCAGAGCACGAACTGCGGGCTGCGCACGTGCCAGGGGCTGGTGACACCGGCCACAGGACTCTGGGAAGGCCAGAGAAGATTAAATAAACATGAGGAAGCTTGTCAGGGATCCGCTGGCTCGAAGAGGGAGTAGGGCCACAGGTATGGCCAGCACAGTAACAGAGCAGGGGACAGATGTCCCAGGAGGGAGGGGGTGGGCTCACCACTGACAGTCACGGTCTGCCGCTGAGGATTCTCCATGTCCTGCATGAGCTGCTGGGTCAGCTGCTCCAGCTCCTCCACCTCCTTCAGAGACAGAGGTCCTGGGGCCCCAGGGGAGCGCACCTGAAACCCCAACACCCTCTTTATACCCTGTCAAGGGTCACCCCGTCCAAGAACACTCCCCAACCACCTTATCCACTTTCTTCCAAGAAGGACTAACTCACCTCCCATTTCCCAGGTGCTCAGGTTTGACCCCGAAAGCCCCTCACTGCCCCTCCCAGGCCCCAGCACCACACGAATAAGGGGAAGGGGGAGACCCTTCCACCCGCTTTGCCCAAACCCCCCTGGGCAGCCACAGACAGGCCAGAATGACGGAGCAGACGGAGGCCACGCACACAGCAGCTCAGGTCACTGAAGCACCGAACACACTAGACCACGCACCAACTCCACAGAGCATGCTCGGACATGGCCCCCCACGGAAGAGGTCGGCGCAGGGGCCTGCGCGCTCAGGCGCGCACACACCTACCCGGCCCGCCTGCTGCTGAGCAGCCCTGTCAGCGTGAGGATACAACACAGGCAGGTTAAACCAGAGCTGTCTGCAGCAGCCCAGCCCCAAGCCCTCTACTCGAGAGGTCCGGGTCCCTCCTGAGACGGGTTCCTGGTCCACCTGGCCTCACTTCTTCCCCTGGAGGCCTCAGGAAGGGCCTCTCCTAGGCCAGCCCATACCTGGGGATCCCACTATGTAGGGGATCCTGAGAGAGCTTGGGGGTGGGAGTGGGGTGAGGGGGTACTGCAGGGACCTGGCAGGTACCAGGAGGAGGCGCCACGGGGGCTGTGACCTGCACCAGCATCGCCATGAGATGCTCCGACAGGAACGCTGGCTGGTCTTCTCCGTTACTGGAGAAGTCCACGCGGGACTGTGGCCACTGAGTGTTCTACCTGCCCATGCCTCCATCCCATAACANCCTTGCAGCTGCTGCTCACACTGGTGGCAGGTAAAGCAGGTGATGTGGAACAGCTGTCCCAGAGCACGAACTGCGGGCTGCGCACGTGCCAGGGGCTGGTGACACCGGCCACAGGACTCTGGGAAGGCCAGAGAAGATTAAATAAACATGAGGAAGCTTGTCAGGGATCCGCTGGCTCGAAGAGGGAGTAGGGCCACAGGTATGGCCAGCACAGTAACAGAGCAGGGGACAGATGTCCCAGGAGGGAGGGGGTGGGCTCACCACTGACAGTCACGGTCTGCCGCTGAGGATTCTCCATGTCCTGCATGAGCTGCTGGGTCAGCTGCTCCAGCTCCTCCACCTCCTTCAGAGACAGAGGTCCTGGGGCCCCAGGGGAGCGCACCTGAAACCCCAACACCCTCTTTATACCCTGTCAAGGGTCACCCCGTCCAAGAACACTCCCCAACCACCTTATCCACTTTCTTCCAAGAAGGACTAACTCACCTCCCATTTCCCAGGTGCTCAGGTTTGACCCCGAAAGCCCCTCACTGCCCCTCCCAGGCCCCAGCACCACACGAATAAGGGGAAGGGGGAGACCCTTCCACCCGCTTTGCCCAAACCCCCCTGGGCAGCCACAGACAGGCCAGAATGACGGAGCAGACGGAGGCCACGCACACAGCAGCTCAGGTCACTGAAGCACCGAACACACTAGACCACGCACCAACTCCACAGAGCATGCTCGGACATGGCCCCCCACGGAAGAGGTCGGCGCAGGGGCCTGCGCGCTCAGGCGCGCACACACCTACCCGGCCCGCCTGCTGCTGAGCAGCCCTGTCAGCGTGAGGATACAACACAGGCAGGTTAAACCAGAGCTGTCTGCAGCAGCCCAGCCCCAAGCCCTCTACTCGAGAGGTCCGGGTCCCTCCTGAGACGGGTTCCTGGTCCACCTGGCCTCACTTCTTCCCCTGGAGGCCTCAGGAAGGGCCTCTCCTAGGCCAGCCCATACCTGGGGATCCCACTATGTAGGGGATCCTGAGAGAGCTTGGGGGTGGGAGTGGGGTGAGGGGGTACTGCAGGGACCTGGCAGGTACCAGGAGGAGGCGCCACGGGGGCTGTGACCTGCACCAGCATCGCCATGAGATGCTCCGACAGGAACGCTGGCTGGTCTTCTCCGTTACTGGAGAAGTCCACGCGGGACTGTGGCCACTGAGTGTTCTACCTGCCCATGCCTCCATCCCATAACACCTGGCGCCTGTCTCCCAGCTACCTCCTCCCACAGCCCCCTTCCCCTCAGCCCGGGCCCAGCACCCTCACCCCATCTGCATCCAGACAGGGCTGCGCCTGCCCAAAGCAGACACACAGAAGCCCAGGCTCTTAGCCATTTGCAGACTCCTGCCCTAAACTGTATCCCCCATGAGCCACCCCCCTCAGTGTAGGCTCTACCATTTTTTTCCTCTCCCAGTCTTCCCCTCCTGGCATCTTGGGGACAGAAGGACTCCGCCAGCTCTTGCTCTCTGGTGCTATTGTAAATGCCTGTCCCACTCTTTGGAAGTATGAACTATTCGTGTACATCAGCTCCTCGTGGGTATCCCTGCTCCTTCAGGACTCACTCACCAGTCACTTTTCCCTCTCTGCCTGCCAGCGTCGATGCCACAGCTTCAATGCCCATGGCATTCAGACCTCTAGCTCCTCAACCCCAGTGGCCCCAAACGTCCCTCCATCTCAGGCACCTTCTACCATGGGACACCCTGGACCTGAGAGTCATGAGTCTCTTTACCTCCAAGACCCTGGACTTGACCCCCAACCACACTTCCTCCCCCTTCCCCATGCATACCCACTGAAGAAACCTACTCAGACAGGCTTTCTTCTCCCGCCTCCCAGCCCTCCCCCTGTGCCTCCCCAAGCCTGGCCCCATGACCACCTATTTCTACTAGACTCTCCCAGCCACTCTAGCCACCCTGAGCCACTGTCACTTATCTGGCCCAATCTCAGCCCTGGCCACGCCACCCGCTTCCTGTTTCTGCCGCAGGGCTACAGAAATATGTACAGAGATCACCAAAAGCTGCAGAGTGAGTTCACCAAACACAAAACACTGCAGGGCCCTCAGCCAGTCTGTCGTCTGGCTGTCCTTCCTTCCCCACAGCAGCTGCTCCAAACCTTTCCATCTCCTCAAGCCCCTCGCTCCCTGGCTCTCACCAGTGACCTCACCTCCTGCATGACTGAGAAGATGGAAGCCGGCCAGCCCAAGCTCCCTCAGTGTTCCTCCTTTCCACAGAAACCCTGTGGTGACACTGACCTTGCTCTGGGAAGGCCACAGCAGGGGGGCCGCCACCACTTCTCCTCCAGGCTCATCCCAGCAGCAGGCCCTGCTCAGGCACCCCTCCTCCACCAACTTCTTCCTCCCGGCTCACGGCTCACGCACATACCTGAGCCCCCTCCCCTGACCTGGAAAAACGACACACACACACACACACACACACACACTCAGGCCCTGCCCTAGTCCCATCTCTCTGCCAGCTCCCCAGGAGGCCTCTCCAGCAACTCCATCTTCTCACAACTCCTTTCACCATCCCCGCTACGGGGCACAGATGGACTACCGCTCGGCCATCGGTGACTTCCAAACAGTCAAATCTGTGGCCTTGTAGTCCTCGACCTCTTCAAGCCCCCATCGAAGAGCTCCTCAGCCATCAGATCTGTCCCCCGAGATCCCACCGTGACCTGAGGCCCCTCTTCCTTCTGCCATCGTCTCCCCAACCCCCACATGACCAGTGTGAGCCCAGGGTTCCTCCCAGGCCCGCAGCTCCTGCTGCGTCAGCCCCGGGACTGCTTCAGTACCACTGCCCCCGATGATGACCCCGAGTCCCAGGCCTCTCCCAAAACCCAGTCCTCCGTTTCTAACAGCATGACAGTCCGAGCTGAAGGCAAGTCCTCCTGAAACTGTTGCTCAACACGCTGACAGCTGGACCCCTCCTCTTCCGGTCCAAAGCATTTCCCCTTCTCCACTTCTCTATTTGGTCAGCATTACCGTCATTCATTCCCCCAACACGCCGGGCACTTATTTATCCCTCACCCCCCCCCTTCCTACCAACTGCTTATCAGCTACCAGGGCCTGGAGGCATTTCCTTTTGCGACAGCTCTCATTCCCACACGTCACTGACCTCCTACTTCTAGTCCACACCTCTGCTGTAAACAGTCCCAAAAGCTTCCAAAAGCATGGCAGTCACCAGTCCCCTGACCCAGCCACACACCCACTCGAAAACCACGAAGGACTTGCCAGAACTGACAGGCTCCCTTGGGCTCCCACCTACCCCTCTATAGCTCTAAAACTCCCCAGAGGAACCTTCCACTTTCTAGTTCCCGAACACTCTAGTGGATCTGTGTCCTTGAGCTTTGCTCATGCTACTCCCACCCCGGCCCCCTTCGCTCTCCTCTCTGGATTCTTAAGTCCAACCATCCTTCAAAGGACACCAGCGCCAGGATGCCTTCCCTAAGCGGCCGGCCCCATGCTCGCTCCCTGGCTTGAGCTCCTGCAACACAGGATCCTGCACAACTCATGGGCACTTGGCATCCCCTCCTGCTGCGCCCGTGCCTACACACACAGGGACAGACACTCCCGCCGCCCATTCACTCTGTGGCTGCTTGGACTAGACTTCAACTCTCGAAGTCTCCTGAACTAGAAGGCGGGAATGAGAACTTTTCAATCCGGGGCACTCAGGTGCTAGACAGAGACCCCAGCACTCTCTATGCATCACCTCACTTAATCTTCACAACCGCTGTACGGAGTGGATAGCGTTATTTCAAAGACGGGAAACTGAGGCTCGGCGTTCACCTCACTTGCCTAGGATGTAGTGAGATGAGGAGCTGGGAATTCTATCCCAGGTCCAGCTGACTGCCTCAGGCTAACCTCTTTGAGAGATCCCTTCCGCCCCGAGCACAGAGCACAGTGCTTGGCACTCAGCAGATGCTGGCTCAGCCAGTGCAGGCACTCTTATCACCAGCTGGGCCCTCGGGCAGTGAGAGTGCTCAGAGAACAGAAATTAACTCAAGATTCCAAGAAGGAGGAAGAACCAGGGTTGGACTGGTGATGAGCTCACCCTCCCCTTTAACATTCAGGGGCAGGGCGTTAGGGATGGGCCACCAAACCCTCCACCTAATTCAGAGCCTGTGCTGCTCCCCACTCCCAGTCAGGCCCACCGAGCCCCAGCCCCTGCCAGGCCCCCTCCAGAAAAGCTCTTACCACTAATCCAAACCTAGAGGCTGGAAACTCGTATCCCACCCCCGCCCAGAAACTCCTTTGCCCCCATTCTCTGGCTCCTGACTTGGCCCCCTGCCCCCAGCACCCAGGTGTCTGCCTGGTCCTCCCACCCGCCCTCACCTGGTTTTGGTTTTGAGCTGGCGTGGGCACTGGATGCTGCTTCTCCTGCACTCGGGGCTTCTCCCTCTGCTGAGCATAGGTGAAGCTGGGGGGCTGAGGGGAGCCTGTGCCAGTGGAAGAGGGAGCTTGAGGGGGCCCCAGCTTTTGATTGGGCTGTGGCCCGGGTCCACTTGGAGCTCCAGGGCTGAACTTGGAAGCCACAGGAGTAAACTTGGGAGTCACTGGAGAAAACTTTGGGACTGGGGGACCTCGAGACTGGCTGTTAACCAAAGGCACAGGCTGGGGCTGGGGCTGAGGCTGAGGCTGAGGCTGAGGCTGAGGCTGGACATGGAGCTGGACCTGAGGCTTGGCCTGGGGCTGGGGCTGAGGCTGGGGCTGCATGTGGAACTGTGCCTGGCTGGGAGCCGGAGCCTGGGGCACAGGCTGGGAGCTAGAAGGAGCCTTCCAAGGAGGCAAGGGTGCCGTGCCCCCAGCTGCAGGCTTAGTACTGGTCTTGGAAATGAACGGAGTGGCCACAGGTGGGGGTACATATCCAGATGACACCTGCAAGGGGAGGCAGAGGAGGAGGGAAGTGTGATTGCAGGAGGGTGCTCTGTGCCCTCCGCAGCTCTGCCCCCGCTTCTTTCCTTCTCTCCGGTTCCTTACCCGGGCTTTGAAGGGATCATTCTTGGTCATGTCATCCAGCAGCGAGGACAGAGAGTCTATCTCCAGATCGATACTGCTCACCTTCTCCCTGGGCTAGAGGGTGAAGGGTCAGGGCGCCCATCCCAGCCTTCCACCCCACCGCCCCCCGACAGGGCACAGGCGCAGGGGCGCGCCTTCCTCTCCTTCCCTCGGGGGTCCCTGCGCGGCCGCCCCCCCCAGGCTCCCTACCTGCGGTGGGAGCGGGGCCGGGGCCTCGGGCCCCCCCTCCTCCGGTGGAGGCGGTGGGGTAGGGAAGATCTCCTCCTCCAGGGGTGCGGAGGGAAACAGGTCGTCGATTGGGGGAGGGGGCGGTGGGAAGGCACCTCCCAGGGCGCCCTCGACGTCCTCAAGGAGGGGAGGGGGCGGTAAGGGGAGATCTGGGGTACCGAGGAGAAAGGGGGTGGTCAGCAGGGGCCCCTCTACCGGCTTCGCTAAGTCCCCCTCGCCCAAGAACTCTCCCAAGGGTGCCGGGGCATGAGGGGAGGAAAGGGGGGCGCAGGGCGCGCAGGGAGCACGGGGTCAGGAACGGCCGGGGGCTCGGCGCAGGACTGGGGGCAGCTCCCGTTACATTTCGGAAAAGGGGCCCCGAGGGGAGACTCGTGCCCCACGTTCCCACCTCCCGCCCCCAGGCGGGGGACTTGGACGGGTCCCAGGAACCCTGGCTCCCAGCCATGAGCTCCACGATGAGGTAAGAACATCTGCTCGGGACAGGGTGGCTGCGCCCTGCCCCCTCCGCCGCAACCTTTCCAG